GCGAAAAGCCCGCACGTCGGAGGCGTCACGGCCGTGCTGAAGGGGCAACAATTCCTTGACGAAGTCATGTACTAGTCCAGTTCGGTGCTGCCACGGCCATGCACGGCGGGTTGAATTTCTCTGCCACAAAGTGGTAGGAAAGAAGCTCCGTATTGGCACGGCCGTCCACAAGGGGACGTATCTGGCTGCCTCTTATACACTGCAAGAAACATACGGTTGTGCAACACAGTGCTCTTCGGTGAGTTTTTCCGATGGCAACACTGAGCACGTATGGATGTACGCAATACTGAACTACGAGACGTACTAGAATAACATCGACGAGTGAAATTACATTACGTTTAAGACTCCTCGTTACAACACGGTCGATAGTTACCCACGAACATTTAAGGGATGACTCAATGATCCTAAGCAATCGAACTTACAGCCACGTACCCTGCGGAAAAAACCTTACATATTAACCCAAAGATACACAAGAACTGCCATCAGGGTTCACACACGACTTTTGGAAATTACGAGTATAGGCACACAACGTACGTAGTATTATTATTGATATAATTATGTTATTAAATTTTGGGTAGTGAATAAAGTAAGGGTTTCATTGTTTACGCCGAACCATTTTTCACGTGCTAGCATCATATTCTTATTATGTTCTTTTTTGATATATTTTAGCCTTCGCATATCCTTTTTTCTACCCCTAACCATCGGCCCCGTAACAACCTTTATAAAAAAGTCTCTTTGATTCTTGATGTTAGATTCGAGTATCTTAGGAAAGGGGGATTTGATTTTCATTCAAGCCTATGGGATAATCTTTTGTCGCTCTACTTGAGTGTTAGCTGATTATACACACTTATTTCTTTCAGAGAGCATGTGCGTATACATTTTATCCTGTGACGTTGACTTGGCTTGATATGTTGAATTTCTGATTGATTTGGTTAAGTTAGATTTTCTTGTCATATTGAGTCGTCTGTGATTTCTTTTAGCTTGTTTTGAATTGAGGGCAAGCATGGTCTAGGTGTGGGTCTTGGATGTGATAGCCATAAATCGCATGCGTTAAATATTCATATTATTTGTGATATTTCATTGATTTTGATTAGATTCTACCTGATTTGGGTATATATTATTTATTTATAATTTGCAGGAGAAAAATAATAAAATTGATAAAAATATAGAGAAAAGAGAAAAAACAAAAAAAATAAGGCCCAAAGCCTGATTGTTACAAAATTAGGGCAAATATAAAGGAAAGAAATAAGGGGAGGCGCTACTTTATGCCACTTGCCGAGGAGAACATCGTGCAGAACATTCCCAGGGAGAAACCGTGCAAGGGCAAGAAGGAGAATGATTCTTCCAAGAAGATTTCAAGTTCTACCCCTACCAACATCATTCTCAGGCCATATTTCTCTTTGCTTCCTTTTCCTTTGTTCTTCCTCCCATGATTAGCGAGTAGTTTACTTTTCTAGTTTAGGAGTGGAAAATAACTTGGTATGCGTTTGAGAGATTAGACTTGTTTTTATTTATGATATTTCTTTGGTTACTAAGTATTTATGTGGTTTCTGATTTCTTTGAGTTATAACATTTTATTTGGTTGGGTATTGTGCCCAGGTATTTCAATTGGATTAAGGATTAATTGCTAAACTAAATTAGACGTCCTTAATTGCATTTTAATTTGGTTCAAGTGGCAACTAGTGGCAGACACCATTAGGAAATCAAGGAATCAATTTTAAACAATTCCGCATAGTTAATTGTTAACTTGAATTAGGCTCTTTTAGTTCGCAAGGCGGTTAGGCTACTAAGTTCTTTGTGGCGTCACTAGGGTTCTAGTCTAACTAGGGAAGCAATTGACGGACGTACCTAGACTGTCAAGAAATTAAGGAAGAATTGGTTATTAGGCGCGTGTCAGTAACTATAACTAATTTATTTAGAAAGCAATAAAATTAAATATTTATCGATGATCAAATCCACTACTCAGTTGTCAATTTCATTTATAGACTGGAAACTTATTTTTATTGAATTTATCTTTTAGTCGTAAAGTTTTTAGTTTGTTATTTTATTTCTATTTTCTACTTCCAAAATCCCCCTTTTATTATATTTATAAATCAAATAATAAAAAATAAAACCTTTTTAATTCCTTGAGGAGACGAACATACTTCATCTATACTGCGTTATTTTTATTGCAAAAGTATGTTTATTCTATTTTAAATTTGGCAGCATGTGACAAACGTATGTCAGGATGTGTGTTCGATGTTGGTTTATGTTTGGGTAAAACTGAGTTCGAGTATATTGCTTCCGTAATAATTAAAGTTGCTTTAAGTTTTCGCTAGATTCTTGTTTGGTGATTGATTAAACAAGTTGTCGATCTTGGTTTAGTAATAACATATAATAATATTTTTATATAATATTACATTTTAACTTTTTAAAATATAAATCTATATAAAAATTTTAATAATTGAAATGATTCGAAATAAATCAACATATATATTAATTAAAGATAACATAAAAAAGAATCGTAATACTCCCTCCGTCCCATTGAAAGGTTGTCATTTTCCATTTTCGTCCGTCCCAAAACAAGGTTACTATTTCCTAATTTAGTAATTGTACTACCTACCTAACACAAAAAATACCCTTCCAAATTACACTATATTACACAAATGCCATTACTTTTATATTACACAATACTAATAGGGGCATTTTTATCTTTTTCACTACAATTCATTATAATACTAATATTCAAAAATCTACGTGCAAAAAGTAAACGGCAACCTTGTACCGGGACGGAGGGAGTATAATATAAACGTATAAAATAAACATATTACAATATAACTGAAGAATTATTATTTTTATTGTCCAATCGTGTCCAATAATTTAATTTAAGTACTAATTAAAAATATCAGTATTTTCACTGCCCATTTGGTTTAATTGAATATAAAAAGGTAGATAATTGGTTAATAAAATTTAAATAATTTATATTAAATTTAAATTTTAAAAATTTAATATTTCAAAAAACTTTGGATAGCTTTTAATTTTTAATTTTTAATTTTTTATTTTTTTTTAAGGTAAGTGGTTCTTGATAAAAGTAATAAATTTTGATAACCGTATTTCTTGTTTGAGGCAATGAGTTTTGTTATAGTAAAAAGTGAAAAGACAATGATAAAGGTAACGAAATAGGTGACTGTAACAGATGTTGTTATATGTTAGCTCATTCCAAAATCGGTTGTCACATGACACTAACCGCAATTCAAGCTGTGTTCACATTTTTACTTTGGTCATTGCGATTTTGTGATAGATTAAAAAATAATATTATTTTATTAATTAATTAAAGTGTAAGAAGTTTTGATGTTTTTATTCTTTTGATTTTATATATAAAGTAATTGGATGTGTAATAATATATTTGTAATTTAAATAATTTTTTTTTTTTGGAGTTTGTTTGTATAATCATATTTTTATCTGAAGATAATCATTAATTTTTTTTCATATGAATCTTTAAATATTAATTATTATATTAATATACGATACAAATAAAAAAAATAAGAATGTATCTTTTAATCTCTTATAATATAGATACATGATAATTGTGGAGTAAATTATATAAATACAATAATATTTTTAATATTAAATACAAGAATGCATAAAACAAATAGTATCTTCTTATGGGACCAAGGTAGTAGATATATTTTATCATTTACAAAAAAATAATATTCTACATAAAATATTATTTTTTATATTATCGACACATTTTTTTTTATATCTCAATACAAATTACATTAAACCAAAGCAGATAACAAACAAACCCTTATATTTTGGAAACAAAAGTAATTCTTAAATATTGTAATATATAAAATAAATGGCTTTTGTTAGGTGCCAACGAGGTCAAATTAGCAAGTAATTTGTCACAAAGCAGATAACATAGCACCTTTACTTGAAGCAATTAACATTTCATTAGAAGACATTTAACATATATTGTATTGCTATTTATTATATTAATATTTGTTAATTTCTTTAGATATTTGCTTATTGGGTCAAATTATTAATGTGATGAAATCAGAATATATTTTGTTATATGTCATTATATAATGTGTTTATATTGTATTAATATTTGTTATTTTCTTTCTATTTTTTATTGGATCAAATCAGCACCATTTTGATTTATATATATACACATACATTCAGAATAGTATAAGGGTGTGTTTCTCTATTTCTTAAAGTGTATTTGGTTGTGATTTCAAATTAAAATCAATACTATTTATTATGTGAAATTCTCAATAAACAATATTACTCAATCCGTGATCCAATTACATGCTCATTTGATCGGGCACGAGTTTTACAAAATATTATTGAAGTATTTGTAGGAATTTTTAATGATTTTCAAGTTTCATGTTATTAACTGTACTACCTCCGTCCCCGCGTAAATTGTCCGCTTTAGCTGAGGATATTGAGTAATTAATAAATAATTATAAATATATTAATAAAAAATAATTATGTTTAATAAAGTTAAAAAAATATTATTTTAAATATATAAATTTAATAAAAAATTTTAAATTTAAAAAAAAATTGTGTTCTCCGACGTGCCACGCGGGTGCAGTCATTTTCAGCGTCGGATGTCCAAATATGCGAAAAAATTCCACTTTCGAGTTTATTTCAAGACAAACTCTAATTACTGAAGTAAAATGATAAGATGTATCGATTACAAGAATAAAATAATAAGGCATTCCAATAACGACAATTACAATATAATATACTCTAAAATATATTAAAATGAAATTTCAAATGAAATATCAAAATGAATAAATAGAAAAAAGAAGTCAATGTTTTTCATTACTAATTTATTATTATATATCAATTTATTAAATAAAATATGAATTAGAACATTTATTTTTATCTAAAAATATCAAAATAATAAAGACAGACATAAATAATATAAAAAATACAAATAAATACAGTTAAAAATGATGTATATACGGGTACAGAAACTGAGTCATACAACAGTAAAAACAGGACCATTTTAATTCTAGAGAGAGAAAGAGGAACGGATGAGAGAGAGAGCTCTCCCACTCTAAAATATCTGAGAAACTTTTGCTTTTCTGTCACACCATTTTCATATATTCTTAGGATTTGTGTTTTCCCACCGGCAGATTTTACTCATCACCCGGCCGATTTCATCGTTATCTTCGATCCTCACTAAATCTATTTCTCAGATTGCTTCTCCAAATCTTGTTTGTTCTTAGATTTGTTCCAATAGCAGTCTCCAGATTTGTCTAAAACATTACAATTTTTTATCAATTAAAAAAAAAAAAAAAGAAATTATTATTGTTGTATCCTTACGTAGTCGATGCAGCAGTCGCTGTTGATTGCAGTCTGCAACCTTTATTGAATCCTTGGATTGAATTTTCAGAAGAATCAATAAATCAATCGGTGATAACTCCGGCGGTGGTGGCTGAATTTGGGGAATTTTCAGATTAGTAATTTTAATTAATCATAATAAGGAATTCATCCGCCATGGCAAAAGCTTCTTCGAGCATCAATAAATGGCGCAATTCTTTCGCGAACACGAGTTCCGACATCTTTGATATAATCAGGCATGCAGTAATAGTGGCGGCTTTCGATTGCCCTCGCGAGCTCAAGCTACAGAGGGACGATATTACAGAGCTTCTCTACACTTGTGGATTGCCGACGTGCCGCTGCTGCGGCGGCAAGCTCGAACTCGCCTTGTCCCGGATGGAGTCCCGCGACACCAAGGAGAGCGAAGCTAACGACGCCGACCGCTGGAAGAAGAAGGTCGAAATGGATCGGATTAATGAAGAAGATGAAGATGAGGAGGAAGATGAAGATGAGGATAAAGATGCTGAAGCACTGAATAATGAGGATGAGATGGAGACAAGGAAGATCGAGCAAGTTTCGAGGATCAAATCTCTCATCGACGACACTGGTGGTGATGAAAAGGTTGTCTTTATCTTTTAGGGTTTGTTTGGTTGTGATATATATATATATATATATATGAGATTGAAATTTTAATTTGGATTTGGATTTTGGTTTAAAAAGTATTTTGGTGTGAGTGATATTGAGTCTATTTGGTGATTTTGGTTTCAAACACAAACCAAACACTTACATTTCTGGTTTTCTTCTTTTAATTTTGAGTGTTATGGTCTTGAGCTTAAATGAGCTATTAATTTGGTCTATTGTTGTTTCGATTCTGATTTTTAAGTTCTTTTGTATCTATCCGGCAGCCGGATGCTGCAATGTTAGAATTGCTGAGGCAGCTTAGGCAGATACGTTTGTCGGTGGAAATTTTGAAGGTTTGACGATACTTTTTTTTAGAAGCGCACTTCCTTGTGTCAATTTTAAATACTTTGGTTCTATTTTCAGGCAACCGATATTGGAAAATCTATTTCCAGTTTGATGAAGCATCAATCAAGGGATGTTCGCCAACTTTCTCGGGCATTGATTAAGTATGGACTCTGATCGTATTCCTTTAATTTGTTGCTATTTATGCTCTTTACGTTCAAGATGTGATCTTGTGCTACGTAATTAAGAATGTTCTGTGTCAACAAGTGAATAGTTTAGAATAGTTCATTGCATCCAATCACTTGTCGGACATTGATTATAGACTTTAATCATATTCTGTTAATTTGTTTGTACGTACTCTCTTTACATTCAAAGTGTCATATTGTGCTATTGTGCTCTATGTAATCAAGAATATTTGGTGCCCACGTCTAAATAGCTTAGAATAGTGATATGCATTCGATCATGTGTTGTATCTTTGTAGGCATTGATTGAGTTTGGACTTTGATTGCTTTCAGTTAATTTGTCGCTGCGTACGTCAAAGTGTGATCTTGTGCTATGTAATCAAGAATGTTTTATGTCTACTTGTAAATAGTTTAGAATAGTGTTTTGCATTTGGCCACGTGTTATATCTTTGTCAAGCATTAATTGTGTATGGACTTTGATCACATCTTTTTAATTTGTCGCTACGCTCTTTACATTCAAAATATGATCTTGTGCTACATAATCAAGAATGTACGGTGTCCACGTGTAAATAGTCTAGAATAGTATTTTGCATTTGATCGTGTGTTGCATCGTTGTCGGGCATTGATTTAGTATGGACTTTGATCATAGTCACGTAATTTTTCGGTAAGCCCATTACATTCAAAGTGTGATCTCCTACATAATCAAGAACTCTCGATGTCCACGTGTAAATAGCCAAGAGCATTATTTTGCATTCAATCACATGTTATATCTTTGTGCGGCATTGATTGAGTATGGACTTTGATCACTTTCCATTAATTTGTCGCCATGTTTTTTATATCCAAAGTGTGATCTTGTACTACGTCAATTAAGAATGTTCAGTGTGCACATGTAAATAGTTTAGAATAGTGTTTTGTATTCGATCACGTGTTGTTTCCATTGCACAATGGTTACACTTTACATGATCTTGCTTTTCCATTAAAATGCGAAAACAAAGCATTTTGTTATCTTCTCGTTAAAAAGTTTTGCTCACTTCTTGCTCGTCGATTTTCCAAACATTGAATGAAAAATATGAATAGTTTTCAACATCTTGAGATGTTTCTTTTCTTTTCTTTGTTGCTCCATAATGCAGGGAATGGAGGAAAGTTGTCGATGAGTGGGTTATCGCAAGAGCTGCCACAGCAGGTAAAATCTTATAAATACTAAGATGTTTTTAAGAATCATGGCTTGTAATACCATAGATAATGACTGTTTATGTCTGAAATTAAGGTGACGGAGCTGCGAAAGAATCGACGGAAAAATCAGAAGATCAAGAGAAGGGGGGCCTCGCGACGCCCCCTATGGATGTAGGCGCTCTATCCGCTGCTCCAGCAAAGATGAAGTTATCAAAGGTGCACGATCTGTTCTATTATATTGCTCAATCAAGTTTCGAATTTGGGATTTTTGATCGATTATCAACCAGCTGACTATGTTTTGCTTGTGTTGCTCTTCAATTGGTGATCCATAAAGATCTTCGATGGAATCGACAATGACGGGAGTTAGTCTCATCCTTCACTATATATATCTACATGTTCGCTAGTCATTTTTGTTTCCTTTTCATATTCGATTCTTCCATTTCGATGGATGGTGGTTTCAGAAATCAGAGATGAAGAACATCTACACAAGACCGAGGAAAGTGGCCGGAAAAGGAATTTGAATGATTCACGCCCGAGCATAAAATTCGATAATCCAACCGCGGAAAGGGAAGCCCCACCAAGCAGACCAAATAGGCCCCCTAAAAGCCTACCAGCCCCGGCAAGACCACCGCCCATTCGACAAACAGCCATCCCTAAACAGCCATCTGAGGCTCGGAACGGTCCTAATACTCAAAAGAAAACTCCGGTTTCTTGGCTGAAGAGAGAGGCCTTAACCAATAAACAGGGTAAGAAGCCTGTCTTGTCGAAGCCAAAACCAAAACCCGCGGCTCAAGTGAAGGGCACCATTCGGGATACAAGACCGATGCCTCGCCCCAATGAGGTTAGCATTGGAGCTTGTTGATACATTGTATATATCTTAATCATCTTTTTCTTTTTTTTTTTTTTGTTTCAATAATGCGTGTAATTTACTTACAAAAATGAACTAGCAGCCGAACCGCAACAATGCGTCTTCAATCGGGGCGATGCTAGAGATCGCCAAACGGAAACTTCTGGAGCGCAATCAAGAATTGGGAAGAGGTTAGCATTTGATCCTCCAATGTTGAACCAGTTGATTTCATAATATATAAATAAATAAATTATGCATATCCCTTTAAATTTAACTTTTTAGGTGAGATTGTCATTTAGCACAAGCAATATAAACTAAAACTTGTTGCAACATGAAACAAATAAATAAACAAGTCGTCGTTAATGAATCCGTGATAAAATGCAGCCAAGAGGCAGAAGACAGAAGAACTGGAGCTGGGAGAGATCAAGCCACAGGCCACCGTTCAGCGTGGCCCAAGGCCGGGTGGGACGGCCGTGACAACCTTCTCCTACAGATGGTGAGTTCGCTTTTGCTGTTGATGGTTCTCGCGGTTTTGTTTTGCTTTCTTGGGGCGAATAAATAGGTGGCTTCGATCGGTTAGAAGTAAGATTTGTTGGTCTTTTAAGGAGCGGAGAAGATTGATTTTGCACAAGGTTTGCACATTTTAGAAGCAATTCTTGTCGATCGTTGCATTCGAAAAATAGTTTTTAGAATAAAAAAAAATTGTATACTTTTAATAGAACGATTCATTGTTACTTATATCATATTATAGATATATATTTATGATTCGTTCTCTTTTAACTTTTTTAAACTATATAATTTTACAATTTCTACTTAAAAAACTTAATAAGTATTTCATTTTATGAGATTAAAACCCAAGCACGTCAAAAGAACCGAAAAAAAACATAGGTCAAGTTTTTCTATATGATATAGAGTGATTATTCATTTTGATATTTACTTCCTCCAAATACTTATTCCTGGTTTTGCTATCCACTAAATTTGTATATAGTAAATGATAAATAATTTTATCCACTTACAATTTGTTGTTATTTTTTCAACTTGGTCTTATATTTTTTTATCAATTCTTAAACAAAATTGTTATAAGGTAACATTATATTTTTATAAAATTTTTAATATTTTTTTAAAGTTTTAAATTATTTTTGTCAATTTTTAAGACAATTATAGAGTAAGATTAATATTTTCTACTTAAGAAAGTTTTTAATGATAGTATTTATAATAGAGAGAAAATTCTACGATGATATTGATCTGTAATTATATTTAGCACTGAATTACATCCTAATTATTAATTAAACACGTTAATTAAATCATTTTAAATATTTTATTGTAATTAAGGGTTAGGATTGATGATCGGTATATTGAATTTAATATATTTAAGCAGTTTACATGTATGCTTTTCCATTTAAAAGGGGTATTGGACTCTATTCTAATTTTGAAAATGATTGATATTAATGAGAAGTTTCTCTTACTATATTTTGTATTTTTAGATTTCTTTTTTGGAGTACAAAAACAATTCTAAAATTGTTTTTAGTTTGTTTTTCTCTCTCCAATTAAGATCATTTTATTGTTAAATGGGTTAAACAATTCAATTAATCTCTAACTTTCTTCACCAAATTGGGAATCCAAACCAAGAATTTGAATGAAAATATGCCTTCCCACATAAGCCATGGTGAGTTCTCAAAGGTCCAAGAACACACCATTGTAAATGTTAGTTAATACATATCCTAACTTTATATTTATACACTTTATAATTAGCAATATATATATAATCATAGCAGCCTCATACCATAATTTCGAAGAAAATAGTATTAGTATGGATAACTGCATTCCTCCCCGGCCTCAGAATTGGCATCCAGCGGCCATCTTATTCTTCTACAGCCTCGCCTCCTCCAAATATCGCATCAATAATCTTATTTTTTATTGATAATTAATTAGATAATCTAAACTATATGGCCAAGACTTATAAATTACACTTCATTCATCCCTTAGTCCATCTTCCACCCACCAACTTTATTTATGTAGTTTTAACTTGCTACAGTGTTTTTACTCTAACCTCAACTCTTTCTTTTACTGCAAAAAGAATATTATTCAAATATTTTATTTTATATATTATTTTTAATCACTATTTATATTTACAATTAATATATTTTTTTTTTTACCTGTCGAGCCTAGTTTGCAGGGTATTAGATTCGGCCAGAGATTTATCCAGTGTACACTTTTGGATAGCGGCTGCGGATTCCACGTTATAAAAAAATTAATATAATTTTTTTTAAAAAAAAAAACAGTGAAAAATAATAAAATAATTAAGAAAAAAAAAACACATACAATTCCATAGTTGTTTTTCTGTGCATTATCTTCTAAACTGATCATTTTTCCATATTACGATACAATTCATTCAAGTATAAAAAATTCCCCCTCAAATACTATTAATATGGCATTCATCAAAGATATATATATTAAAAAAAAAAAAGGAGAGAAAGAAAGAAAGCAAGAAAAACCATAGAAATGCAAGAAACTTGATAAAAATAAACAGATATGAATCTTCCATGAAAGATTTCTACTCTATATGTGAGGCTGTCTTTATTTTAGAATTCACTTTAAAAAAAAAAAAAATTACCATGCAATCCAAATGATTTTTATATTTTGCAAACTATAACATTAAACCACTAGTATAAAATACAAAACAAACCAAACAAACTCTATATCCATTATATATATGTATGAGAAAAATTTATTACTAGTAATTTTGATTATGTTATATAGTATATTACTAAATTTATTATGCAAACAACAATAATTTAACTAGTATAATTTTTGTTTTTTAATAATTTATTAATGAGTGACTGTGAAGAAGTATATATTGTACTCCACTTGCGCAAGAAATACTTACATATATATTGTAGGGTGTGTTTCTTTAGGCGCGATTTGGAGAAATTGGATTTAGGTTTGGTTTATATTTGAATTTTTGAGTGAATTTTATTTTAATTGTGTCTTTAGATATGTAGTTTGGTTTGGATTTGGGGGAAAGATATTGTAGATGTAACACAGGACCTAATATTTGTAGTTTACAATTAATCGAACACATACGAAACAAAAAACATCGAATATTTTATATACTTTCAAAATCGAAGGAGTTCGGATTCAGTTTACCCAAAGTTCCAACCGAATAGCAACATATACACACTACCTCGACCCAAACACTACCGACATCCACAGAAACGCACAATCAGCGCGATTACAGACCTAATCGAAAGAAATCTCAAGATTCTAAGCCTAAATTATCGCGGACAACCAAATAACACCACGAAAAGTACATAAAGGCAGAATCGAGAAATCAAACCGGAGAACAGCTTTAGGACAAGCTGTAACACAACCATGACGGATGAACTTCAATATCCGATGGCCAAACTCGCCGGAATGCCAAAAACAGGTTGATCGCGTTCGTCGGGGAAGTTAGGGCTGCAGAGAGTGAAATCACGATATGAAGGAGTGAGGAATCTGTCTATATATATCATGCTGAGTGAAATAGCCGTAAAAAACAAATCAGCTGCAAAACTAAACAAAAACAGCCACACAATCAGCTACATGTTAAATATATCATACTGAAAACAGAATGTTAAAAATCAAAAGATATAAGCCTTCAAGTTTAAAAGATTCTCCTAATCAAAAGTATCTATATACACTGTTTTCTTACACAAATTGAATTTTGTTATTGATAAAACTTTAGTTCCCATGTCCGCAGGATTATATTCAGAAGGTATTTTTTCTAGTTTTAAAAAACCCTTAGACACTATATCACGAATGAAATGAAACCTAACATCAATATGTTTGGTTCGATCATGAAAGACTGGGTTTTTACAAAGCTGGCTTCCCGATTGACTATCTGAAAAAAACTGTTACTTCATTTTTCAAGTAGCCTATTTCATTTAATAAACCTTTTAACCACATACCTTCCTTTAATGCTTCAGTTATGGCCACATATTCAGATTCTGTCGTAGAAAGAGCAACTATATGTTGTAGTTGGGATTTCCAACTAACACAAGAACCACACAAAGTAAAGATATACGACATAGTTGACTTCCTAGAATCTCTATCATTCGCATAATTGGAATCCACATAGCCATTTAGTTTTAACTCACTAATGTGTTTACCAAATACTAAACCAACATCAATAGTATCAACCAAGTATTTAAACACACACTTTAAAGCATTCCAATGTTCCACAACCGGATTAGCCATGTATCTACTCAAACAACTAATAGAATACGCTAAATCAGGCCTAGTGCACACCATCAAGTACATAATAGAACCTATAGCACTAGTGTGAGGAACATTCAGCATGTATTTCACATCATTTTCAGATTTTGGGCATTGATCTTTAGATAAAATGAAATTAGAAGCGAGGGGGACATCAGAGGGTTTAGCATCAGTCATGCAGAATTTATTCAAAATTTTGTTTAATGTATGAAGACTGATTTAAAAACAACATGTTACCTTGTCTATTCCTAAGTATATTCATACCAAGAATTATGTTTGCATATCCTAGGTATTTCATATCAAATTTCTTGTTTAAACAATCCTTCACATGACTAATGGTTTCCAAACTAGGACTCATAATCAACATATCATTAACATATAATAGCAAGAATATGGGATGCTCACATGCTATTTTAAATACAAACAATAATCAAAATTGCTTCTATTAAATTCCAAAGATTTCATGCATTCATCAAATTTTATGTTCAATTGCCTAGGGGACTGTTTTAGTCCATAAATGGATTTTTTTAAAAGGCACACATGATTATGATTAATTTTATCAAAGAAGCCTTCCGGCTGTTTCATGTAAATCCTTTCATACAAATCACCATGTAAAAATGCAGTTTTTACATCTAATTATTTCAATTCCCAATTGAAATAGGCAACTAAAGCAAGCATGAGCCTTATAGTAGAATATTTAACAACATGAGCAAAAATTTCATTGTAATATATTCCCTCCTTTTGTGTAAACCCCTTAGCAACTAATCTTGCTTTAAATCTAACTCCATTTCCATCTTGTTTTACTTTGTAAAGCCATTTACAATCAACAACAGAACTGTTAGCTAACTTTGGCACCAAAATCCAGGTTTTACTATCCTTTAATGACTTCATTTCTTCATTCATTGCATTAATCCACTCATTTCTTTGTTTTGATTTCATAGCTTCACTATATGAACTTTGTTCATTACCATCTAATGATTCGAACACATTATAAGCTAATGAGATAACATCAACATCAAAATCATCTAACCTAGGAGACTGCCTTACATTTCGCCTAACTCTATCCCTAGCAAGTTGATAATTTTCCAGATTTTGATCAATGTTTTCAGCAATTCCAGATTCAATTCCCTCACTAACATCAACAGAACTGATTCCCGGATCAGCCTTTGAATTTCTAGAATTAAAATCTGGATCAGAACTGGCTGTTCTGGTATCAGTTCCATTTGAGGCATTATTATCAAGTAATTCAGCCTCTAAATTGGCTAA